GAGATTCCTCAGTAAACTAGGATTAGAGGTCCCATTCAAGCCAGTTATTGCCCTTCGGGGAACTAAAACCATCATACCACAATGATATATGTGCACCCATGTTTACAGCAGCACAATTTGTAATAGCTAAATCTTGGAAACAATGCAAATGCCCATTAACTGAGAAATGGATTAAAAAGGTGTGGTGTTGTTACATAATGGAATATTTCTCAGCTAAAAGAAAGAGAAAGTCAAAGCTTTTATAGGTAAATGGACACCACTAGAGACCATACTCACAAGTGAAATAAATAAGACTCACATGTGTAGACATCATATTATCTCCCTAGTATAAGAACCTGAAAGAGTAAATGAAATCTAAAAGGTACAATAGAAAGTATGAAAGCGAAAGAAACTGCTCAAAGGAAAGAACAACTGGGATGAGGGAAAGGAGAAAATAAAGAAGGAATGGAAAAAAGATAACTGGGATAATTGCACTACTAATTTCTATTGATTTATTGAAAGGAAGAGTTGATATTTAATTGTCTGATCATTCTTACATGTCTATATTTGTTTATCTGAGTAACCAATATGAAGATAACAGTATGTAATACAACAATTGTTAGTTTCTTATCACCTCATCTGAAATTTTGTATTGTTTTTATGTTATTTCAGATATATCTGTTTGTTAATATGTTTTTGTTCTTTTATCTTTAAAAATAAAATTAAAAAAAGAAAAAGAAAAATTCAAATTAAAACCTCAATAATATGTCATCTCACACCAATTACAATGGTTATTATGGAAAAGATGAAGCATAACAAGTGTTGGTGAGGCTGTGGAGAAATGAGTACCTTGGTAAACATTGATAGGAATGTAAATCAGTACAGCCATTATGGAAAACAGTATGAAGATTCCCCTCACAGATGAAACTAGAACTATCACCTGAACCAGCAAACCCAATACTGGGTATAGATCCAAAGGAAATAATCAGTGCATCAAAGAGACATCTACTTTTCCATGTTCACTGCAGCATTTTTCAAGACATCTTTCAAAACAATGGAATCAACGTACTTTATAATTTCATTTGTGAGTTTAAAAAATAACTAAGGTTTGTGACTCTGTTGACTACAAACCTTTAGTCAGTTTTATTTGCTTCACAGTAAAAGTTATCAGATACGTTTTGTCATCTGTAATTTGTCATATGCATTTTTTTTTCACTAGTAGTAGAGACGGTCTGTTGGCTTTTCTGACTATTTATATCTAAGAGGAGATCTTTTAAGGTAGAAGATATAAACAGGTGTGCCATCAGTGCATTCAGTCAAGGTAAACTTTCCCTGTTTTCCTATGTAATAGCATAAACACCACTTATTTCTTATCTTTCTTCCAGTGAACATGTTTGGCCCCTTTGTCAAAGATAAGGTGGCTAAGTGTTTTTGTGGTTGTGGCTGCATTTTCCAGTCTGTTCTATGATCTTCAGGTCTGTTTTTTTGCCCATACCAAACTGATTTTATCACAGTAGCTTTGCAGTATAATTTCAAGTCAGGGATTTTGATGCCTCCTGCCTTGCCTTTGTTGCCCAGGACTGCTTTTGCTATTCAGGGTCTCTTTGGGTTCCAGACAAACTTTAGGCATGTTTTCGCTAGATCTGTGAGGTATACTAATGGTATTTTATTAGGATTGCATGGAATCTGTATAACAATTTTGGGAGTATGGCCATTTTCACAGTGTTGGTTCTTCCTATCCATGAGCAACGAATATCTTTCCATGTTCTGAAATCCTATTTGATCTCTTTTTTCAGACTACTATAATTTTCACTGTATAGATCTTTTACTTTTTTTGTTAGATTGATTCCTAAATATTTCAACTTTTTGGATGCTATTGTGAAGGGTATGGATTCCTTAATTTCTCTCTCAGTGTGTTTGTTGTTTGTGTACAGGAATGCAACTGATATTTGAGTACTGGCTTTGTATCCAGCTATGCTACTGAATTTATTAATACTAGGAGTCTTGGGGCTGGGGATTTAGCTCAACGGCAAAAGCGCCTGCCTGGCAAGTGCAAGGTCGTGAGTTCGGTTCCCGGTACCGGAGAAAAACCAAAAATAAATAAATAAATAAATAAAAAATACTAGGAGTCTTTTGGTGGTCTTCCCGTAGAGTATCTTGTCACCTGTGAATAATGATAATTTCACTTCTTCCTTTCTTATCCTTATTCTTTTTATTTCTCTCTCTTGCCTAATGCTCTGGCTAATGTTTCTAGAACTATGTTGAATAGGAGTGGTGACAGTGGACATCCTTGTCTTGTTCCTGATTTTAAAGTGAAAGCTTTCCATTTTTGTCTCTTTACTATGCTGTGCACTGTTGGTTTGTCACAGATGGCTTTGATCAGATTGAGATAAAGACCATCTGTTCTAATTTTCTGTGAGGTTTTTATCATGAATGAGTGTTGGACTTTGTCAAAAGCTTTTTCTGCATCTATGGAAATGATCATGTGTTTTTTGTCTTTGGCTCTGTTGATATGGTGTATCACATTTATTGATTTGTGTACATTGAACCACCCTTGGGATGAATCCCGCTTGGTCATGAGGTATAATCTTCTTGATGATTTTCTGTATTATATTAGCTAGTATTTTTTTAAGAATTTTTGCAACTATATTCATTAGGGAAATTGGTCTGTAGTTCTCTTTTTTGTTTGGGTCTTTCTTTGGTTTTGGTATGAGTATAATACTTGCCTCCAGAAACAAGTTAGGGAGAATTTCTTCCCTTTCAATTTTATTGAAGAGTTTGAGGAGTATTGGCATTAAATCTTCTCAAAATTTCTTGTAGAATTCAGCTGTGAATCCATCAGAACCTGGGCTTTTCTTTGCTGGTAAGTTTTTAATCATGTTTTCTATTTCATTAACTGATATTGGGTTATTCAGAATTTGTCTATCTTCTTGATTCAGCTTTGGTAATTCATATTTATGTAAGAATCTGTCCATTTCTTCTGTGTTTTCCATCCTGTGAGAGTAAAGAGTTTCAAAGTAGGTATTGATGATCTTCTGAATTTCTATAGGATGTCTAGTGATTTCACCCTTCTCATTCCCTTATTGCATGAATTTGAGTTCTTTCCTTTATTTGATAAGGTTGGTTAAGAGATTTATCAATTTTATTTAGTCTTTCAAGAACCATTTCTTTGATTTATTAATTCTTTGTATGGTTTTCTTAGTCTTAGTTGAATTAATTTCTGCCCTTGTCTTTATAATTTGCTCCCTTCTTTGGGCTTTGGGGTTGACTACCTTTTCTTTTTCTAGAAGTTTGAGTGGCAGCATAAGCTTTTTATTTGTTCTCATTCTGTTTTCCTGATGTGTGAGTTCACTGCTATTAATTTCCCTCTTATGACTGGTTTCATTGCGTCCCACAGATTCTGTCAAGTTGTATTTACATTCTCATTTGATTATAGATATTTTTAAATATCTTCGTTAATTTCATCTGTGACTCATTGTTTGTTCAGGAGGATGTTATCTAATTTCCAGTGTTTATGAAGTTTTTGTGATTCCTTTTGTCATTAATTTCCAATTTCATTGCACTATGGTCAGGTAATATGCATGGGATAATTTCAATTGCCTTGCAGTTACTCAGGCATTTTCTATAGGTTAGTATGTCATCTATTTTAGAGAACGCCCTATATGCAGCTGAGATGAATTTTATTGGGATGTTGTGTGGTGGAACATTCTGGAAATGTCTACTAAGTCCATTTGTTCACAAGTTTGGTTCAGTTCTGTTATTTATTTGCTGATTTTCTGTCTAGTTG